GGGAGGGGCAGAGAGAGAGGGAGACACAGAATCGGAAACAGGCTCCAGGCTCTGAGCCATCAGCCCAGAGCCCGACGCGGGGCTCGAACTCATGGACCGCAAGATCGTGACCTGGCTGAAGTTGGACGCTTAACCGACTGCGCCACCCAGGCGCCCCTAGTCTTTGCTTTTAATATGCCTATCAAACAGCATGAAAATTAAAAATAAAATCAGCAAAAGGGGCTCTACATTAGTCTGAGGGACACCTCCAGGGGTGTGGGGTGGAGAGATCTGTGTGACTCAGAGCACCTGCGTGGCTCAGTCAGTTGAGCTTCTGACTTCAACTCAGGCCATGAGCTCACCATTCATAGATTCTAAAGCCCCGTGTCAGGCTCTGTGCGACAGTCAGAGCCTGGAGCGTGCTTCTGATTCTGTGTCTCCCTCTCTCTCTGCTCACACTTGTTTGTCTCTCTCTCAAAAATGAATAAACGTTAAAAAAAAAAAAAGCCCGAACACTAAAGGACATATTAATCTGAGTTTTTATTTGTAAGAGAAAAAGGAAAGTGACCAGCTGTGAGCAGCATTGTTTCCTGGGATGTTGTTTTACCAGGAATAAACGCGGACATCACGATGCTTTGCAAACTAAGAGAAACACCTGCGGATTGATTCTCAGGGCCCCGCAGGGTTGAGGGACATGGTGGCAGCTAGGGTTCTCCCCTGCAGCCACCCACTCCGTGGATAGACATCTGACAGATGGGGGGGGGGGGTTCCTTGGTTCTTGCAGGAAGTAAGCACCCAGAAAATGGAATTCCAGTACCCCCCCTCCCCCGCCCAGGGTGCTTTTAGAGCTGTATTTTTCTCTTTACTCAGCAACGGGGTTAAACCAGGGTCGTCCAACCTCTGCTCTGTGGACACTTGGGGTTGCTTGTGTTGCGGGCGTCCTGTGCACCGCAGGGTGTGGAGGGACATCCCTGGCCTCCCGGTTTTGATGCCATTTGATGGTAAGTGCACCCCCAGTTGTAACAACCACAAATGTCCCCAGACATTGGCCAATGTCGCATTGCCCCTGGTTGAGAACCGCTGGGTTAAATCTGTTTAACTAGAATGAATAACTGGAGTTGCTCATAAGTTAGGACGTTTTGCCTAAAAGAGTCAAGAGGTCCCCTTCATCTACTGTACAGATGGGAAAACTGAGGCCAAGCATCGCCCAGTCCTAGACCCTTATGGGAACCTGACCCATCCATCTGGGTCTCTAGGGGCAGCCCTTTTAGGAGCCACGTGGCAGCAGCAACCTGGGCTGGGGGAGCGTCACAGCGGGGGTCGTGTGCCCCTCTGCCTCAGTCCCCCTACTCTGACTCCCTAAACGGCAGCCAAGGTTTTCTTTTTCTGGCAGCCCGCAGGAGGTCTTGAACCCTCAACTCCGCGCTCACCCGCACTCGAGAGAAGGGCGGCGCTCGGCGGCCAGGCGCGCAGCCTTGTGGGGATTGTAGTCCGGACCCCGCCCCAGTCCCGCGCCGACCCCGCCCCTGGAACTACGCTCCCGTCGTGCCGCGCGGCGCAGGCGGAGGCGGGGCAGCGGTCGGTTGCTAAGACTTGTGAGGCGCAGTCCTCGCGTGCGGCTCTTCAGGTAAGCGCGCGGACCCGGGGGTTCGGTTCTCGCGGCCCCGGCTCCCACGGGCGGCGAGCCGGGGCAGTCAAGGAGAGCCTCGGCTGGCGTGGGGGCGCCGGCCGCGCGGGGCGGGAGGAGGCAGTCGGGGGCATCCGCTCGTGTGCGCGTGCGCGCGGGGCGCCCGGGCCGCGGGCCGCCGCTCCCCGCGCCCGTCGACCTTTTGCGCGTGCGCGCGCCCCTGCGGCCGGTGGTGGAGGCCCCGTACAGCCAGCTGCCCCTCTCCTCCCATCGCCTTCCCCTTCCCCTTCCCCTTCCGCTTCCCTTTCCGCTTCCGCTTCCCCTGTGCGCGTGCTTGGGGTCATCGCGGCCAGCCCTCTGCCTCCGGTCCTCCCTTTCACTAGCTTCCCGCCAGCTGCTGGCGTCTTAAACGTTGGTAAACGTGGCAAACATTAAACTTTCCTGATACTGAAAGAGTGGGTTTTCGAGGCCTTCTCTTATCCTGGCTCCGCGGATAAGGGGTCTCCTACCACACCCCACATGCCCAGTGTTCGCGAACTGTCACACACAGAGGGGCCGTTTGTAGGGTGGCCAGGTTGGGTAGGTGAAGCGCAGGACGCGCCGGGAGGTTAGAATTCCGTGTACACGACAAGCGATGTCCCATGTTCGCGTCAAGCCCCAGAGCTTGCAAGGGACCCCACCGCGCTCGCAAACTCTGCGCATGTCCAGAATTCGAATTTAGCGGCCCCACTCCAATGGGGAGTTTGTTAGGGATGCAGGTGGCAGCCAAGCCCTGGAAACTGTATTGGAATCCAGCAGCTACCGCCCTGTGGGCGTGTGTGAGGCTCTGGCCGTCTGTTCCTTCTGCTCAGGACTCCCCACCCTGCTTCCCCTGCCTTCCGGGTCCAGCTGGGGTCACCGCCTCCGAGGAGCCCTCCCGGACTGCCCACCACAGGGCACTAGCCCTCGGAGATTCTGCCAGGGACTCCCCACCCTGCCTCACCTGCCTTCTGGGTCCAGCTGGGGTCACCGCCTCCGAGGAGCCTTCTTAGACTGCCCACCACAGGGCACTGCGCCTCCTGGGAGCTGTACCCTGGGACAGCGTGGAGCTCATGTGGCTTTTCTCAGCCTTGGGAGGTGGGGATGGGTTCCCATTTCTCAGAGGGGGCACTGAGGGTGGGGTCTAGGGCAGGTGCCCAAGGTCTCACAGGCAGGGAACAGCTGGGCTGGGTGTGGACTTCTAGGACAGGGCAGGACACACACCCAGGTCCAGGTTCCGGCCTGCCTTCGTCACCCAGGGACAAGATGAGGCCTCGAGCCTACGCTTTCCTGGGTGTATAAATGCCATTTTCTGTCTCCCTCCCAGAGCCAGCTGCCCCGTATCTTCGGGGGGTCCCGGAGCACCCGTGCTTCCAGTGGGGAGGTGCCTAAGCTGCCAAGGGGGCTCGAGGTTAGGGTCCCGTCTCCCTGGTCCAGCACACCCTCTGGGGGCCGCCGATGCTGTTAGTGCTCCCGGCCCCCGGACTTCTGCACCAGAGGCAGAGGCGCTGCAACCAGAAATTAAAACAGGCGGTTCTGAGCCCGCCGCGGCTGTCCTTGGAGATGCCAGGGTGGGGACTGAGCTGGGCGAGACCAGCAGAGTGTGTGGGGGGTAGAGGCAGCCAGGTGCCTGGAGCTGGGGACTCAGCTGGGGCTTTGGGGACAGAAGAGGAGCCCAGGTCCAGCAGCCGACCCCATCCTGCTCCACATCCCTGGGCGTGTTTATACAGAACACACGTGCGTGGACACTGCTTGGAGCTGTGCTGGCACTCCCCCCAGGACGTTGGGGTTGGGGGTTCGGGCGGGTCACTGTTTCCTGAAACCGCTTCTTTCTTTTTCTTTCATTTTTTTTTTATTAAAGTTTATTTAGTTTGAGAGAGCAGGATGGGGGCAGAGAGAGAATCCCAAGCAGGCTCCACATGTCAGTGCAGAGCCCAACATGGGACTCGAACTCACGAACCGTGAGATCTTGACCTGAGCTGAAGTCAACGCTTAACCGTCTGAGCCACCAGGTGCCCCGAAGCTGCTTCCTTCTTATCTGTGGGAGAGGCTCAGGACCCCTGCCCTACACAGGGGCTCCGAAGGCAGAGGCGGTGAGCTGGCCCGCCTGGCCAGAGCCTGGTCAGATCGCGACTCTGCCTGCCGGTGGCCCCAGGCAAGGCCTTGCACCCCACAGAGCCTTGTCTTTGTCCTGTGGAACGGGGACAGTTCAGGAGCTCCCTCCTGTGTCACTGGGAGGACACGTGGCGGGGACCGCACCAGTGGTTGGGCCTCGCGCGGAGTCTGCTGACCTCGCGCCTGCCCCGTGTCCTTCCCCCTCCCCGCTTTCTCTAGCAGCCTTACCGCTTTGCAGCTCACCTGTTTAAAGCGTCCGGCTCTGGGGTTTTCAGTACCTCCGCAGGGGTGCCAAACTCTCCTCGCTGTCTTCTTACAGAAATCTCCATGCCCCCCACAGAGGAAGCCTCGTCCCCATCACCAGTCACTCCTCCGTCCCCTCCCTGGCTCCCGCGAGCCCCCTTCCCGTCCGTGGACGAGCCCGTTCCGGACGTTTCACACACGTGGACCCACACCCCGCGTGGCCTCTCGTGTCGGGTTCCCTCCCTGAGCGTCGCGTGTTCGGGGTCCGTCCGCGGGGCGGCGGGGGTGGGCGTCTCGCTCCTGCTCGCGGCCGAGGGACGTGAACCTTTCGCGGTGGACGCGTGTATCCGTCCGTTCATCCATTGAAGGGCGCTTGTGCTGTATCCGCCGTCTGGCTGCCGTGAACACACGTGTGCGGGGTTCTTTGTGGACGTGTGTTCTCGGCTCTCGTGGGCACACGCCTGGGCGTGGAGGGGAGCGGTCACTGGCTCGCACGGTGACTGTGCTGCGAGTTTTCCCCCTTCTGCCTCAGAGCTGGCGCCCCCGCCGGCGGCGTCTCCCTGACAGCCCCCTGTTGCCTGTGTTACTCAGCGGCTGTGCTCCTGGAGGACAGGTGAGACGGTGTGTTTTGCCGTGGAGACAGTGGGAGCCTCGTGACCGGTGCGGGCCGTGGGGTCCTGAGCGTGGTGTGTGCCGGGAGCAGATTCAGGGTCGGTGCCGCGGGCCCCCCCCGATTCTGTGCGTTTGTCAAATTTGTATCATGAGCCTAGGACGGACCGCGGTGGGTGAGGGTGCCCTGTGCCCTCCAGCGGGCCCGACTGATGAATAAGTGGGGTTCTGGGCGGCTCAGGCGCATCAGAGAGGGTGGAAGCCCACAGCTGTAAGATGATCCCAGACTTTCCTGTCCATGGGGAAGGGGCAGGGGGCTGGTCCACCCCAGGACTCCAGAGGACGGTGTGTTCCGGGCACACGGTGGCACCTTTGATGCCTCTGAATCTCGTCGACGGGACCAGTGGTTTAGCTCCGATGTGACCCGAGGCGGTGCTGACCGACGGGGTTATGACGCGGGGTACCGCACGAAACGCTAAGCGTTTTAGAAGCCGTGTTTCCAAAAAAATGCGCAAAGAAACAGGTGAAATTCACTGTAAGGATGCGCTCGCTTAACCTGAAACACGGAACGTGAGCACCTGAGCACGTAGTCCGCGTGAAGACGCTTCACGAGACCGCTCACGTTCACCCGTGGCACCTCGCACAGGGAGAAAAGATGCCAGTGATGGCTTAAGCTCTGCAGACCAAGCGTTAGTAGCATCTGAGGGCGAGCGCGGCCGGCCGGTGGCGCGCGTCGCGTGGGCGGAGCTCCCGGACTTCGGATTCCGCACGCTGGGACCTGGGACGGACTCCTGCGGCTGAGGGATGATGCTCTGCCCCGATCTCTGTCTCCCACAGTCGGAGCCCCGCCCAGGATGGACCCCGCCCCGGGCCTCGCGGAGCAGCGTGGGGACGAGGAGGCCGCGAGCCCCCAGCCAGCGCCTGCGCCGTGGCAAGCCCTCCCGGTCCTGTCCGAGCAGCAGTCCCAGGACGTGGAGCTGGTGCTGGCCTACGCCGCGCCCGTCCTCGACAAGCGTCAGACCTCGCGCCTCCTCAAGGAGGTGTCGGCCGTGCACCCGCTGCCCGCCCAGCCTCACCTCAAGAGGGTGCGGCCCAGCCGCGATGCCAGCCGCCCGCACGCACTGGAGATACTGCTGTGCCTGGCGGGGCCGGCCCCGGGTGCACGATCGCTGGCCGAGCTCCTCCCGCGGCCGGCCGTGGACCCTCGCGGCCTGGGGCAGCCCTTCCTGGTGCCCGTGCCCGCCCGGCCGCCCCTGACCAGAGGCCAGTTCGAGGAGGCGCGCGCCCACTGGCCCACGTCCTTCCACGAGGACAGGCACGTGGCCCGTGCCCTGGCCGGACGGCTCTTCTCGGTGCAGGAGCAGGCGGCGATGCAGGGCCACATGGAGCGGGCCGTGTGGGCGGCGCAGCAGGCGGCCGCCAGGGGCCTGAGGGCCGTGGGGGCGGTGGTGGTGGACCCGTCCTCGGGCCGCGTGCTGGCCACGGGCCATGACTGCAGCAGCGCAGCCAGCCCCCTGCTGCATGCCACCATGGTGTGCATCGACCTGGTAGCCCGGGGCCAGGGGCGCGGCGCCTACGACCTCCGCCCCTACCCTGCCTGCTCCTTCGCCCCGGCCGTCGTCGTCCCCCAGGGCGTCCGCGCGGGCTCTGTGCGCAAGCTGGAGGAGGACGGGGACGCGCACGGGGACAGCCTGCCCTACGTGTGCACCGGCTACGATCTCTACGTCACCCGCGAGCCCTGTGCCATGTGCGCCATGGCCCTGGTACACTCCCGCGTGCAGCGCGTCTTCTACGGGGCGCCGTCGCCCGACGGTGCGCTGGGCACCCGCTTCCGCATCCACGCCCGGCCGGACCTCAACCACCGCTTCCAGGTGTTCCGTGGTGTTCTGGAAGCCCAGTGCCGCCGGCTCCACCCCTTCGTGTAGGCGGCCGCGCCCGCCGGACCCCGGGCCCCGGGCCGGGCCCTCCCCTGGCATCTCAGCCTCCCGGCAGACTCCACCAGCGGGCCCCTGTGTCCCTCCTCGTCCCGGCTGTGATCCTGCCGGTCAGTTGTAGGGACGTTCGCGTCCCCCAGCCCGGAGCCAGACCCTGTGCGGTCTCCACCGGCGTGTGGGGACGCATCTGTGCCCAACCGAGCTCTTCCCTGGGCTTGAGCCTAGCGGGGGTCCGGCCCGGGCCGGGGAGCTAGGCACTCGGACTTCCTTCCTCCAGCTGCCCTTTGCCCCCAGCCCGAGGGTCCACTGGGACGGTGTCCCCTGTGTGTCAGGTGTCACAGAGCGGCTCTACGTGTGAAAATAAACACCCCAAACCAGGTCGGTGTCTGTTGACAGAGGCATGGGGCCGTGGTGGCCGAGGGTACCTGGGTCGGAGTGACCGCTTCCTCCAGGGTGTGGGGTTTGTACAGGGGAAGGGGAGCTTTTGAGCCAGGTGGGGCAAGAGCATGGCCCTGGGAGTGGGGCCTCTGCCGGTGTGCTACGTCTGGAAGGGGCGTGGCCGGCCAGCGTGTGTTTACGCTAGGGTGTAGCCTGCCGGCCTGACTCACCCCACCGAAAGGCTCCTTCCCATCAGCCCATCTCCTGACCTTCACAGATGGCCAGAGGGGGTGAGCCGGGGGTCTGCCGCAGAGCAGGTAGTGCTAGGAGCGACGTGTGTCCCTTCAGCAGCCGTGCGTGATTGGATCACCGGGCCAGCTTCGTTCTGAGCCCGCCGTGGAGCCCGGGGTATTTGCTCCCGGCCCGTCCTAGCCCCTGGGGCCGGGGCACGGGGTCTGACCTCGAGCTGGTGCAGCGGATGGGTGGTGTGGGCGGGAGGGTCTCGGGGGTTGGACCCCGGAAACTCCGCGTCACTGGAACCTTCTCACCTGGGCTGTGCGTGAGAAAGACGTCTGTGGGTTCCCGTCCCCCTGCCCACCTCCAGGTACGGTTCCCTTGCCCACGCCGGGCTCGCCTGTGCCGTGAGGCCCTGGTGGGTGCTGGGCAAGGCCGCGTTGTGGCTCATTTCCTGGAGATGGCGGTGCCCACCCGCAGAGCCCTCGGGGACCGGCGCGTTCTCATCGGGTGTGTGTGTTAGTGGCAGCCTGGTACGTGGGGCCACTGTGTGACACCAGCTCACGTGGCTGCATGTAGAAGGGCCGCTGGGGTGCCACGTGCTTGGCTCGGGTCGTGACGCGATCCTCAGCTCTGCAAGGCTTGCAGGGGCGACAACTGCAGGCCAGAGAGATTGTGTGACTGCATGTCACGTAGCAGTGAGCGCGAACCCAGTTCTCGGTGTCTCACAAGTTGGGCTTTGTGGCCCCGAGGAGGTGCTCAGAGCCAGTCGTGGATAAAGCGAAAGCCTGGGGGGTGGGGGGGGCCGGGGGCAGGCTGGGGGGGGGGGTCCCAGGAACATTTTGGCTCTGGCCGGTGTGTGACCTGGCAACAGGCTGACCCCTCTCCTGCCAGCTGCCGACGGGGCTCTGGAGGGAGGTGGTGCAGGGGACTGGCCTCTGGGACCAGACCATCCCTGGGGTGGCCTGGAGGTGAGGACTCCACCCGTGGGTGCTGCTGGGCACACAGCTGGTGTGGGGGTCCCCCAGTGGCCTTGGGGACCCCCTGACTGTGGCTGTCTCCCCTCCAGGTGGCTGTAGGCTTCGGCCCCGCCAGTTGTCACAGCAGAAATGTCTGGTAAGTCTCGCCCGGAGGCCCATCCAGCTTGTCTGTTCCTCTGGGAAGCATCCCCTGGTGGCCGGACGGACCGTAATGCCCCCCACCACGGGGAGGGGCACACACCTCACTCCCCTCCTCCCACAACGGGTGTCGGGGCTCCCTCCTAGCCTGGAGCCAGATTAGAGGGAGAGGCCGGTCTCCATAGGAGTAGCTGGCCCGGCCAGGCCTTCTGCCTTGGGGCCCGTTTGGCGGTTGACATCAGTGTAGGGGTGAGGTTGGTACATCAGGGTTCATCCCTACGTGCGTAAGATGACACCCTCACTCCCTCGTGGGTTTTCCTGCCCCCCTCCCGCTCAGGAGGAGGGGTGGGGCACGTGAGGTGGGGCCCTGAAGCCACGGCCAGGCGCCACAGGGACACGCCTTCCACGCACGGTCACATTGCCCCGGCATCTGCCCCCGAGCTCAGGTGTAGGGCGGCCGGGGCCTCAGGTGCCTGAGGTCAGCTGGTGGCGCCGCTGCTGGGATTGGAAGTCAGGCCCCCGAGTCCCAGATCTGCGCACAACGTTCCCCTGGGGCTTTTCATCTTCCAAGAAGACAGGGTTTCAAGGGGCGTGTGATTCGCCTGGTGGTTTTCTGTCTCCCCCCTCGGCACAGGGTGTGCTGGCCGCCTGGCCGCTGGAGGCGTCACCCCGTCCTTGCTGTGGGCAGCGGGGGGAGGGGTCACACGTCAGGCGAGGGGAGAGCAGCGGGGCAGGGGCCAGGTGAGGTCCTTGCTGGGGCCTTGGGCAGGAACCGCGAAGGGTTGTGACCTGTGACCGCGGCACGGAGGCTGTGCCGGGGAGGCCCTTCCCCGTGTCTCATCACACAGGCGCAGAGCCAGCAAGCTCGGGGTGGGGTCGAACCCCGCCGGGCTCAGGCTTGGCATGCTCCACGGCTTCCTGTGTCCCTTGGTAGGTGCCTGGGGCTTCTCTGTGGCCAGTATGGTGTGGTCTGCCTCTACCTGTCCTCCCCTCCGGCCCCTGGTCTCCCGCTGCCTCTAGAGCACCTGGCACTCACCCCGGGGCCTTTGCATGGGCCAGGACCACCGGCCTCTCCTCTTCGCTTGCTGGAGTCTTGGTTCCAACGCTGCCTTTTCGAGTGAGGCCTACCCTGACCCCCTTCTTAAATCAAAGCTAAGCAGCACCCAGCACACATCCCTGGTGGCCTGCACGTGACATCTCCTATATGCCACAGTGTCGTCCATCCATTGCGATCACTGCCGGGCTCCCCCTGGCTAGGAGGGCAGCACCTCGAGGGCAGGGGTCCTCTCTGTTCTGTTCGTGGTCTGGCCCCCCCGAGGTAGTTGGGAGTCGTGTCCTGCCACACAGTGGTATGATGTCATTGATACCTTGACCTCAGACTTCTGGGCTCCGGGCCTAGAAGAGAGCAGATCCCTATAGCTGACACCTCCCGGTTTGTGGTCACTTCTTAGAGCTTCCCCAGGAAGCTCATACGTTCAGGATGCCAGAACCTTCCTTCGAGGCAGCTGTCACCAGCATTTGCGTTCTGCCACTGAGTCTGCGTGTCTTCTGTGGCTGCTCTGAGGAATCACCACAGCGTAGTGATTCAAACCACGATTATGGGCTCTGAAGTCCTAACACCCGGGCGTGGGCAGGGCCGGTTCCCCCGGGGCCCCAGGGAGCCCCGTGTCCCCCTTTTCCGGCTGCCAGAGGCACCGCATCCTGGGCCCGCGGCCCCTCCTCATCCTCACCGCCAGCAGCGTGGGGTCCGCCCGGCTCTCTGCCTCCCTCTCGTGAGGACCTCGTGAGGACGCCGGGCCCCCAGAGCACCCAGGGTCGCCCCCGCCTCAGGGGCCTTGACAAGGTCCCATCTGCTGCGTGAGGTGACCTGTCCACGGGTTCTGAGGACCAGGACAGGGACGTGTGTGGGCCTGTCACTGGGTCCCTTAGCCTGGTTTTGTTTTGCGGTGGTTTCTGTCTCTGCAGAAAAGGAGAATAATTTCCCGCCGCTGCCCAGGTTCATCCCTCTGAAGCCCTGCTTCTACCAGAACTTCTCCGACGAGATACCCATCGAGCACCAGCTCCTGGTGAAGAAGATATACCAGCTGTGGCTGTGTGAGCGGCCGGGGCGGGGCGGGGCGGGGGCGGGCATGGGGCACCTCCGGGCCACAGTTTGCCCCCTCCCGGGCGGTGAGAGCCTAAGGGTTCCGGGATAAATCCCTTTTTCCCACAAAGTGATGTCCCTTGAGCTGTGCTCTGGCCCCCCTGGTGCCCACGCCGAGCAGAGCCACGGCCCTGCTCTCCCGGCGGGCGGGAGAGGCCCGGCCCGGAGCCCTCCGCCCAGGCTCACCCTCCTCGCCTCTCCCCCCTGCTCCCGCCCAGTCTACTGTGCCACCTTGGGGGTCAACCTCATCGCCTGCCTGGCCTGGTGGATCGGTGGCGGCTCGGGAGCCAACTTCGGCCTGGCCCTGGTCTGGCTACTGCTCTTCTCCCCCTGCGGCTACGTGTGCTGGTTCCGGCCTGCGTACAAGGCCTTTCGGTGAGTGGGGGTGCGGGGCGGCCTCGGAGCGTCTGCTGCTCGGAGCGGGGCGAGCCAGGACGCCTGACCGCGCGCGCGCTCAGGTCCGCGCGGCCCCCGCTCTCACTCTCGGGACCTGCACCTGCTCTGTGCCTGGTGCCTGGGTCCCTTCTCCTGTCCGGTTGGGGGGGGACAGGTCATGTCCACGGTCTGCGGGCTACAGCCAACCACGACCCGTTGTCTTTTAATAACTTCGTCAGGAGACGCTTCGTGTATCAGTGTTTCCGGTATCTGTGCGGGGTTGTGGGTCCATCACCTCTTTCCAGTTCCAGAACATTCTATCCCTGTTCCACCCCCTCTCCTCCCCCAGCCCCCAGCCCCCACGAGCCCCCCTCCTGTCCGTGGACGAGCCTGTTCTGGACGTTTCACACACGTGGACTCACACCCCGCGTGGCCTGTCACGTCTGGGTCCGTCAGCGGGGCAGTGGGCGTGGGCACCTCACTCCTGCTCGCGGCCCGAGGGACGTGCGCGTGCACAGTGGACACGTGTGCCTGTGTCTGGCTGCTCGTACATTTGCGAACACTTGGATCATTGGCACCTCTCGGCTCCTGTGGATGTGCGCCCCCGGTGGGCCCCACGACTCAGGAGCGTGCCGCGTCTGCCCCTAGGTGGCCCCCGAGACCCGGGCTGACCCGGGGGGAAGCCAGTCCCCTCGCTGGCCATGCACGCGCGCAGTGACGGCCGTCCTCTCCCACCTGTCCCTCCGCAGGGCCGACAGCTCCTTCAACTTCATGGCGTTCTTCTTCGTCTTCGGAGCCCAGTTCGTCCTGACCGTTATCCAGGCGATCGGCCTCTCAGGATGGGGCGCGTGGTGAGCCGGGCCCCCGGGCTGTGGCGCAGGGGTGTGACGTGTGTGTGCTCAGCGGCGCCCCGGCCATCGTGAGCACCCGCACGGGGCGGTGGGGGGTGGGGTGGGGCTGGGCATTGCGGCCCTCCGGGTTCTGCCCAGGACGCGCTCGCGGGCCACCGGGGCCACTGGGAAGTGCGGTCGGTGGCACGTCTTGGGAGGAGCGGCTCGGGGCACAGCCGGAGAGAGGGCCGGCCTTCAGTTTGCCTGGACGGGTTCGTACCTGGTCTCGTGGCTGCCGGAACAAATCACGGCAAACGTGGTGACTCGGAGGGAAGCAGGTTTATCTCACAGCTCTGGGCTCCAGGATCTGACACGGGCCTCACGGCCAGGTGCGGGCAGGGCTGGAATGGGGCCCCCCCCCCCCGGGGCCCCAGCGAGCCCCGTCTCCTCCCTTTCCCAGCCCCCGGAGGTGCCGCATCCTCGGCCCACGGGCTCTCCTCATCCTCCTGGCCAGCAGCTCGGGTCTCCTGGCTCTGCCTTGCTCTCGTGGGACCTCGTGAGGATGCTGGGCCCCCTGGGCACCCGGGGCCACCCCCGCCTCGGGGGCCTTGACAAGGTCCCCTCTGCTGCATGAGGGGACAAGTCCCAGGATGAGGATGTGGGCACCCCCAGGTCACGTCTGCAGCACCGAGCGTCCTGTGGGCGACAGCCACAGCTGCGTGTGTGTGGCTCTGCTTGGTCAGTGCCGTGACATCACGCGCCTCTGTGCTCGTGTGTGTCTTGCTCGGCCTCTCGGTCGAAATCTCGGTATCGGGAGCTCGTCCCCTGAGGGCGGGTGTCACACGCCGTGGCCCTCGCCGTGTCTCCAGCTCTCAGCTGGGGACACCCTGCTGCCATCCTCCTGGCTTTCACTCCTGTCACTCTTTCCTCTGTGTCCTGGAAGAGCCACGAGGCTCTGTCCTGGTCACCGCATGTCGAACTTGTGCTGTCTTGTTGCTCGAGGCCCCGGTGGGTGCTGGTGGCCTCCTGGACCTGCTCCTCAGCTCCCTCCCGTGTCTTCTGCCCCCTTTGTAGAGGCTCGAAGTCCCCTCTCGCCTGGGACCGTTTCCAAGATACACCCTTCCTCTGGGTCTTTGCACCTGTCGGGCAGATGAGCTGTCTCTGATGCCCTCTCAGATCTCGGTCTACAGGGCCAGTGAGGGGCTGGCTTCGGACTCCAGGGGCGGGACTGTGCCGGGAGGACACCCAGGGCTCAGCAGCCTGTCGTCCCCAAGGCCACGGTTTATACAGAGAAAGGATGGGAAGTAATTTGAACTCGGGGCAAGGGATGGAGGACAGGGGCGGGGACACCGGGCCAAGCTTCTAGAATCCTCTCCCAGGGTGTCCCCCAGGAGGCGCTTAATTCCCCCCAAAACAACATGTGGCCGTGTGGGAGGTGTGGTCTCCAGGGGGCGTAGAGACCCAGCGCCCAGGTTCTCACCGGGGGTCGGTCAGCAGGCCCCTCTGCCGGGCTCGGGCGGAGACCCCAGACCCCAGGAGGGGAGCGGGTCCTCGGCGCAAACCTCGTGTCTGCACAGACAGCTCCGGGACACAAGCCCCCCACCGGCGAGGGTGGTGTGAGCCCCGGAGTCCGGGTCCAGATGCTGCCGAGGGCTGGCCTCGCGAGCCGGCCTTGGGGGCGGGAGGTGTCAGGCCCGTGCGGGCTCTTTTCTGCCTGGTGCCACCCCCACGCCGTTCTCCACACTGGGCTGGCACGGTGGGCACCTTCCTTGGGGGTCGGCTTGCAGAAAGGGGACTTCAGGAGCGTCCCTGCCCTCTTTGAGCGTAGGCCAAACAGAGCAGGGGACGGTGACCAACCAGCCGGTGAGCCTGGGCAGAGAGCTGCTCTGGCAAATTAGGGGGAAGCGGGGGGAGGGGGACGCTCTTCTGAAGCTCGTCACTGCTCCCCTTCTGTCGCAAGGCTAGCCTGAGGCCAGCACAAGTGGGGCAGGGCCTCTGGGCCCTTCCACTTACCCAAGGGTATGGGGTGCCCCGCCCCCCTGCCCTGCTCTGGCCTCTTTGACCGTCACACAGGTGGACTGCCTGCTTCTGGCACACCCCCGGCCCCCCCGCCGGCCCCTTGGCCTCCTCAGGGCCCGGAGCAGGGGGTCGGGACCGAAGGTGCGCTCCACCAAACCGCACTCCCCCTGAAAGCCCGGCCAGGGTCTCCCCGTCCTCCTGGTCCCCGGTGGCCGGGTGGACCGCGGCCATGGCCCCGGGCCAGTCCCTGCTCGTGACCTTCCGCGTGGGACACGGAGCAGCCGCCGGGCGCTTCCCGGAGACGGTCCAGCGCGTCCTCAGAGGGTGCTCTGGGGGTGCCGGCCGCGCTGCGCAGTCAGCTCTGTATCCTGCGGGTCTGTTGCCCCCCTCACGCTCCACACGTGGGTCATCTCCGCAGACGCTTCCCCGCGAACTCATAAAGGAGAAGAAGTTTCAGGACGTACAAGTATCCTACGTAGTGTCCCTACATACGAGACCGCGATGCTGCCTCACGCCTCACAGACCAACCTAAAGTCCTTCGTGCCGTCCGCTCGCTGAGATCCTGTCTCTTTTAAACAGGCTGGCTCAGTCCGTGGAGCGTGCAATCCTTGATCTCGGGGTTGTGAGTTCAAAACCCTCATTGGGTGGGCGCCTGGGTGGCTTGGTTCATGAGTTCAACTTTATTTAGTAATTTTTTTAATTAAAAAAACTTTTCTTAATGTTTATTTTTGAGAGGGAGAGAGCGTGAGCAGGGGAGGGGGAGAGAGAGGGAGACACAGAATCCGAAGCAGGCTCCGGGCTCCGAGCTGTCGGCACAGAGCCCGACGCGGGGCTCCAACTCACAAACCACGATGAGATCGTGACCTAGGCCGAAGTCGGACACTTAACTGACTGAGCCACCCAAGTGTCCCAATTTTATTTGTAAAGTAATCTTTATGGCCACCGTGGGTCCTGAACTCACAAACCTGAGATCAAGACTCCTCCGCTTCACCGACTGAGCCTCCCAGGCGCCCCTTGAACAGGGCATTTTACGTCCGGCTACTTGGAGGTTTACAGAAAGGCACGGAGACAGGACAGCGCGTGGCCGTGCGCCAGCAGGGGTGTCTGATACGCCTTTGGTACGACCCCAGGTGTGCGCGGCTGCAGTGACGGTGCCCGGACGTGGGCCACGTTTGGATTTCCGCCGCGTCCCCGCGGCTGCCCCCCTGCTCAGGATTCCACGTGGCATTGAGTTACATTCTGCTTTAGCCGTCCGTCCGGGTCAGACCCAGATGAGGCGCGCACGTCTCCATGAGTCGTTTTCTGTCCTCGCTCTTCCCAGTCTTTTTCTGATTGATTCATCGAAGAAACAGGCTTGCTTGTCCTGTAGTTTCCCAGAGTTCAGCTTTTAGAATAATGGCTTTGGTGAGGTACGTGTCACAGTCCAGAAATTCACTCTTTTAAGGTGAACAATTCAGTGGTTTAGAGCACGTTCACAGGTGGTGCAGCCATCACCTCTGTTTAGTGCCAGAATGTTCTATTGCCCCAAAAACAACTCGCCCCCATTGGCCATCACCCCCACCCGCTCCCCCGGCCCCCACAAGCCCCCTCCCTGTCCCCGGATGAGTCTTTTCTGGACCTTTCACACAAGTGGACTCACACCCTATGTGGCCTCTCGTGCCTCGTTCCCTCCCTGAGTGTCGTGTGTTCAGAGTCGGCCCGTGGGGCGGCGGGGGTGGGCGCTTTGCTCCTGCTCGCGGCCGAGGGACGTGCGCATGCGCGGTAGACACGGTCATCTGTGCGCGTGCGCGGTGGACGCTGTAGTTCGTCCACAGCTCACGGGCTCTGGGTGTCTTTGGGCATCGCCGTTAGTAGTGCTGCTGTGCCACAGGTCTCAGTGTCTCGGGTGTGCACCGGGCTGCCAGGTTGCTTGGTGACGCGGCAGCTGAGCTGACCTTCTGGGGAGCTGCCAGACTCCCCAGGTCTTGTGTCCGCACTGTTCTTTTACGTGCATGTTGTCCTCTCCCTGGTTCCAGCCCCGCGATCTCCTGAGACTCTCTGGGGGAGCACCCAGCACCCCCTCATCTCCTCCCTGGGCCCTGCCCTCTCCATCTTCCCTGCTCCCCAGCCCTGATGCCGTGGTGTCTCCCCGACAAGGATGGCATGCGGCAGGTTCCGTCGCTCATCCAGTTGGTCCTGACGGAGGCCAGTTTGTCACCTGCTGTCCTTAGAACCTGAGTGCTGTCATCCTGGGTAATAAAGGAGGTTATTCTCATTGCTGGGAGGCTGGGGCAGGCTCCCAGTCCTACGTTCAGCCCGTGGGTGCCTTCGCCCTCCCCGGAGACCACGATCCTCAGGCTGGGGCCCCCGCCCACCGGCCCCTCTTTCCAGAGCCCCAGATCTGGTGGAAGGATGTTGGTCCCCAAGGTGACACCCCCAGCAGAGCCAGCGTTTCTCCCCTCCCAGGAGCGCCTGGTGCCCGCCTGGCCCTGCAGCTGCCTAGCTGTGCTCACACCCACTATGGGCTCCCACCTACCTCTCCCTTGGCCTGAACACCCAGCTGAGTCTCCCCTCCCAGTGGCTTTTCTTTTTTTAGTTTTTTTTTTTAAGTTTTTTATTTCAAAAATTTTTCTAATTTTATTTTGGGGAGGTGCAGAGGGAGAGAGAGGATCTCTAGCAGGTTCCACGCCCGGCCCAGAGCTCCACATGGGGCTTTGATCTCATGACCCTGGGATCACGACCCGAGGAGCCGAGACCAAGAGGCGGACGCTTGGCCGACCGAGCCCTCCGGGCGCCCCCAGTAGTTTTTCCACCTCCCCCAGGCTGAGTGGGAACAGGCAGCAGGCCTGTCCCCACCGCCAGGGTCATTCTCGGCCCCGGCACCCAGCACAGAATGGGCCTGTGGGCCAGGGGTCCTCTGCCCCCACTTCACACACTTGGGTGAGGAAGACACACAGCTTCCCTTTCGGTGGGAGCGTGGCATCGTCCCTAAACATGCTTGCGGGAAAGCCCACGTGCTGCTGAGCGCTGCGGTCCTCGTGCTGTTCCGGAAGGCGCGAGCAAATGCGGGCAGCCCCTGGAGACGTGGGGCTCCGCCACGTGCATGCTGGGCGGCCACCTCTCTGGGTGTGACGCTCCCACAGTGCGGGGGTGGCCACAGGAGCCTGTGCGGGGGGACCTGGCTGGACTCTCCGTGGATGTGGCCACGCGACAGGCTCTGGAACAGGGATGCCAGTGGAACAGCGACGAGACCCGAATAAAGCACATGGTTCCAGTGATAGTAACGAACTGGTGATAATTTCCTAGCCTTTAGGTTCCTTGAACCTTGAGTCTTTATTACCTGTTTAGAAAAATGAAATCTCAGGGGGCACCCGGATGGCTCAGTGGGTTAAGCGTCTGACTCCTGATCTCACCTCAGGTTTTGATCTCAGGGTCGTGAGTTCAGGCCCTGCGTTGGGCGTGGAGCCTACTTTAAAAAAAAAATCAGTAAAATGATGAAGTCTCGAGGATAGTTATCTTCTGTCTCTCCCCCCAGAGGCGGGCGTGGGTGTTCTTTCCACTTTGCACACGTGCCATGGACAGAACGGGTCTCGTAGAGTCTTGCTGTCCTGACTCATCTGCAACCTTCTTTTCCGCTCTGGTTTTGTTAACATCTCCTCAGCATTCTGTCGTGTGGCTGTGTTTCCGGCTGGTGAACATTTGGGTTACTCCTGGCTTTCATTATAAGTTATTGCCGTGGCGTAAATTCTCAGAGGAGGAGAGCCGGGGTGCAGGAAATGAGCTCTCAGGGCTTTTTGTAGGCCACTCCCACTGCTCCCGCAAAGGGACACGCTCCCACCGGTGCCGTGCTCCTCTCGGCCCCTCACACACACCACACGTTCCCGTGTTCTAGCTCGCATTCCCCGCTGCCGGGTTTGAGCATCATTTCACGTGTGCGTTGGCCCCTGCGAGCCCTTGCACAAATTGCCCATTTCTCTGCCATTCGTTTTTGTTGTTGTTGATTTGTTGGAGCTGTTTACATATGAAGGATGCTGGGCGCTTGTTTGGTGGACGTGCTGGCACCCATGCTGCTCTCTCTTGCCCCTTGCAGTGGTTGGCTGGCGGCAGTCGGGTTCTTCCAGACCAATGTCGGGGCCGCCGTGGTCATGCTGCTTCCGGCCATCATGTTCTCCATGTCAGCTGCCATGATGGCCATCGCGATCATAAAAGTGAGTCCTCTGGGCCCGGGACTTCCAGCATCTTCCCGTGCATCTGGTCGCCGGATCGCCCGGGCCCTGGGGGCCCGATCCTCCTCGTTCCAGGACGTGACCTGATGTCCATGACGAGCTGATCTCTGCTAAGGCAGGCTTAGGGAAACCGCAGAGCGTGGGCTGATGATGACCGCGCCTGCCTTTGGGGCCCACCCACTAGTGTCCCCGCACTTTCGTGTCCCAGGGTGTACTCCACGCTGCCCAATGTGGCCGCCACCGGACGTTTGTTGCCATTTACGGTTAAAGTCACATGAGGTAAAGTTAAGTAAAGCTAAACACAGAGTGGGGGGATCCGCTGCACCCACCCACCGCATCTCAGATACTTGCCGGCCGTGTGGGGCTGGGGCGCCGTCTCTGTGCCGGAAGGTTCCCGCGGGCGGTGCCGCCCCGGGTGTGCGGAGGCCGCAGCGGGAACGCGCACTGAGCGGTGCTGGGGAAGCCGGCCGCACCTGGCCGGCGGCCTCGAGCCCTCCCGGAGGTGGTGGTCACAGGCCGGGGCGCGGGGACGTGCGTGGAGTCCCCGTGGGAAAGAGGAGCGGTGCGGGCTCTAGCGCTGCGCCCCCAGCACGCGTGGAGTGTCGTGAGCGTCTGGCCCCACGCCTCTAGCTGTCTGAGTGGGGCTCCTGGCCTACGTAGGCTTTCTCCCGGGTGCAGCTGGCTGGGCGGACAGAAGGATCCTGCCACTCCCCCCCCACCGTTTGCACCCCAGATGCCTTCAGCCGTGTGGACAGTCTGAGGGCAGGGAGGGGCCGGCAGAAAACACGCGCGAATGAGCCTCCAGGGGTTCCACCACAAGGTCCCTGCAGAAGCCGACTTTCCAACCAGGGACTTCCGAGCAGCAAACCTCACAGAGTAGAAAGCAAATGCAAATTGAAAAGGGCTCTTGGGCAAGAAAGAAAGGCTGCCAGGCCTGAAGGAGAGCCTGTGCTTCCAAAACAAAGAGATGCCCCGGGGACGGGGCATGTCGGGAGGACCCCAGGGCTCAGCAGTCTCCCCAAGGCCCAGGTTGATACAGAGAAAGGATAAGAAGCAAAATGACCTAAGGGCAGAGGCTTGTGGGGTGGGGGTGGGGGTGGGGACACCAGGCTAAGCTTCCAGAATCCTCTCCCAGGTGTCCCCCCAAAACGGCATGTGACCACGTGTGAGGTGTGGTCTCCAGGGGGTACGAAGGGACCCAGCGCCCAGGTTCTCACCGAGGGTCGGTCAGCAGGCCTCTCTGCCGGGCTCGGGCGGAGACCCCAGACCCCAGGAGGGGAGCAGGTCCTCGGCGCAATCCTCGTGTCTGCACAGACAGCTCCGGGACGCGAGCCCCCCGCCAGTGAGGGTGGTGGGAGCCCCGGAGTCCGGGTCCAGACGCCCCTGAGGGCCGGCCTCGTGAGCCGGCCTCAGGGGAGGGAGGTGTCAGGCCCGTGTGGGCTCTGTCTTGCACACCCCCCACTGCCTCCAAGAAAAGAAACATATTTAGTAATAGTTGGGTGGAAGGAGAAAGGCAAATCCCAGTGAAAAACGAGGAAAGTGTTCAGCGTCACTAAGCATCAAGAGCGTTGACTTAAAATGCCAGTTTTCGCTTACTGACTTTTCCAGGACTTCTAGAGTTTCTGTACTGCCTCGCATTCCCAGAGGTGCAGTGGGGGGCCTGTCAGCACAGGCCTGCTGGGCCGTGGGGAGTTAGTCCTTTCTGGGGGTCTCTGCCTGGAAGCCACCGGTCACGCCCAGGGATGGCTGTTAGCATCACAAGGGGCCCGAGGCTGGGTGTCCGGGGGGCGGTCCACAGAGAGAAGCTGGGAGGGACGGCCTCAGCTTCCATGCGTTTCCTAAAGTCTCCACAAGGATCGTTCTGGTATTTTATAGTGTGTTTAGGAAAAGCACAGCCTTAAGCACGAGGTCTCTCTTGGTCACGTGCACTTCAGTTTGGCTTCTCTTCTCTGCCCTCCACCCCCACCTTCTGTCCCTGCAGGTGCACAGGATCTACCGGGGGGCCGGTGGAAGTTTCCAGAAGGCACAGACAGAGTGGAATGCGGGCACCTGGCGGAACCCGCCGTCTCGGGAGGCTCAGTACAACAACTTCTCGGGGAATAGTCTGCCCGAGTACCCCACCGTGCCCAGCTACCCGGCTGCTGGCAGCCAGTGGCCTTAGAGGGGCCGACCAGCCCTGCTGCCCGCCCCCGCCGCCCACCTCCCCCGCCCCCGGCCAGAGCGTGGGGCCCACTCGTGTTCATCTCACCCTCAGGCGTGGAGGTCCAGCCTCTGCTGCCCAGCAGGAGGACGCCTCCCTGGCTGCGAGTCCTGTCTGGTTACCGAAACGCCCATGCCCCCTCCTGTCGAGGTCTCAGAGGGCCGACCACGGGCCTCCCCACGGACAAGGCAGCAGCAGGCCGCCCACCCGCCCTTCCTGCAGAGCTGACGTCCCCGTGTCCGCCCGCTCTCCCTCTGCCTTCTCACCTGGTTCCTGACGGGCTTGGCGTGTGGCCGAGTCACCCATGTCCTCGTCCTTCTAAGTCTCTGTTCACCTGCGGCCAGAGGGCTCTTGTGGACCAGCCTCCGGGGTAGTCCAGGGGCTCGTTAGCTGGGCTTCCCTGTCCGCCTGCCCCATGCGCTCCGTGCTGGGGCCATTGGCCAGCCGGGCTCCAGCCTTCCTGCCCGCAGTGGCTCTCCTCCTGGGGACTTGCAGCAGACCTCTGTCGAGATCCGAAACCGGGGGCGGAATCCTTCTGGGGGAGGATGGGGGGCCATGGGCCTCTCCCCTCCGTGTACAAGCCGAGGAAAGCAGCAGCGCCCGGCAGAGGGCGGGTGGCCCGCACGCTCACCGCCTGCCCCCGGCCGCTCGGAGCCTGTGGCCTCACAGCCCTGTGCTCGAGCTGCAGGAAGCGGGGGATGGCGTTTCTCAGGAGAACGGCTTTTCGGAAGGAAAGAAGACAGGACGAACCTGTGCCTTAGTGAGGAACCGGAACAAGACTCCACTTTTCTCCCCTCCGATTGTTCTAGCTCCTCCTGGGACGGAGCAGCCGAATGTCCCACGGGGATCTCCGCAGCACCCTTGTGAACAGATGGTCCAAAGGAGTAGCGGCCTCTTCGCCCTTGCTGGCCAGGCTTCCCGGGCGCCCCGAGTGCCGCCCCTCTCCTCCCAGCTGGCTGCCTCGGGGTAGGACGGGGACCCTCTCCGTCCCACACTGCCGCACCGGGTCGCCGGCCTCTCCAGAAGCCCCAGGACGGCCAGCCTTGTTCTCCACACACGCTTGCTTGCTTTGGCTACTCGTGCTGAACACCACGTGGTGTCCAAAGGTGGCCGCGGTCCCTGAGAAAGCGCCCGGGTCTGGGTGCCCGAAGGTCAAGGCCTCCTGCGTGGAAAACCCAAGCCTTGGGTCTCCCGGGGGTCCCTTAACTAAGTCCCCGGTTCAGCCTCCGTGAGAGGCACGCATTGCACTAACCGTGGGGCCGAGTCCCTCCCGATGGCCGGCTCGCCAGGCGGTAGCCCGTCCTGGAGGACCGTGCATGCGCACGTGTGGATTCGCCCCTGCACGGCCCGTGCCCCTGCGGCGCTGGGCACCTTTGTTACGTCGCGGTGGGTTTTGTTACGGGGGAGGATCCTGGAAATAAATACTGTAGTCCTGCCTGCATCGCAGAGCCTCTGCGGGGCCGTTTGTGGCTGGCGCGGCGTTGCCCTACCCGGCGCACGGCCCCGGTGGCCTGTCGCCTGCGCCCTGCCCCGCACAGGCACCCCCTCAGCCCTGCCCATCGACCTCCACGGTGTGCTTCCCTCCTGTCCTCCTTTTCAATCAACTTGGTTTTATACGCTTAGCTGTTTTTTTGGTTTTGTTTTTAATTATTACTTTCTAATTTTGAGAGAGAGTGTGGCGGGGTGGGGGGGGGGATCACAAGCAGCCTCCACACCCAGCACCCTGCCCGATTCCACGACCCTGGGATCATGACCTGAGCCGAAATCGCCAAGAGTCAGATACACGTAACCGACTGAGCCCCCCCAGCTGCTCGACTTCTAATTTGAAAAAGGGAGTTTGCCGAAAATGAGAAACCAGCGTCACTTGGCACGAAGGAAAAGTAATGGTGGAAGTGTCCGGAATAAAAACAGGAAGGTCTCACGGCAACCCACCTGGAGGGGCCTCCCCAGGGCTCAGCGTGGCGGCCTGTCGGCAGAGTGGACATCCCACGTGGACACAGGCGGGAGGGCGGAGTCCTGTTCCGCAGGACGCTTTGCCACCACAGGAAGGAAACGAGGCCTACGGACAGAAACCAGACAAAGCAAAGCCCCGGGCAAGCAGCGTGGGTTGTGTCGCGTCCTCCCCCCAGACCCGTATGTCGAAGTCCTGACCCTCAGACCTCAGAAGGGGACCTCATTTGGGGATAGGGTTGTTGCAGGTATAGTTAGTTGGGGTGAGGCCACGCTGGAGTAGGGTGGGCCCTAAAGCAATGACTGGCGTCCTTCTAAAAAGGGGACGTTGGGACTCACTGGCAGGGAGAAGCCCCGCGACGATGGGGCCGAGACGGGGTGATGCTTCTACAGGCCAAGGGATGCCAAGATTGCAGTGATCCCCGCAGCCCTGTGATGCTTCCTGGGCTACGTCCTGAGTTGTGAAGGTAAATGTTTCGGCTGCAGCAGGAAGGCGCCCCGCAGATATTAGGGAAACGAAACCATGAAGAGACGGGGTGCGCTGTGCTGGGGGGACGCGCCTGTGGACGTGGGACACGGGTTGCGTGGATGTGCCTTGACTGCAGGTGTCGCTGGGCTGGGTGGGAGATGGTGTTGGTGACAGGAGGAGGAGGAGGAGGGGACGGCCTGGGAGATGGACGCCCAGGCCCGGAGGAAGGAGTGCACGTGTCCTCGGCCCCCAGGTGACCTGTAAGGACAGAGGACGGGGGTGGCGTTGAGAGTGGGACAGTTTGCCTGGGTGGCTGCTGCAGGAGATCGTGAACTGGGGGCTTAAGCCACAGGCGTCTATCCTCCCACCTTCTGGAGGGCAGAGCCTGCAATCCAGGCGAGGCAGGCGGAAAGGCCCTGGCAGGGATGATGGGGCAGTGTGGGGGCTCAGCGTCCTCAAATCCTGGGGGCCGGACCATCCCAGATCAAGGTCTCCGTGGGGCTGTGTTCCCTCTGCAAGTTCCAGGGACAGGTCCTTCCTGCCTCTCCCAGTTAAGTACTAGGACTAACCAGAATTTAAGAGAAAGTTTAACATTTGTTAATGTTATTTAAAAATATGCTCATTACCTTCTAAGATTAAAAAAATAACATTTTTTAGAAAAAGGGATGAGTCGTATTCTTTTCACTTTTGCAGAGAGGGCAGCTCTATTCTCCCGTCGCCGCTGCATTGACTGTGTTGTGACCTGTCTGGGCCCAACATAAAGACTGGGGGTGAAAGCTTTATGTGGGAGACAAGAGGGCAGGAGCCAGTAGGGAGGTCAGAGGTACAGGCAGTCGGGGCTCCGTCCCTCTGGGACGCTTTGGAAGGCACTGAGCCTGTCTCAGGTCGTCCGTGTTTTGGGGTTGGAGGGCCTTGACTGTGCCCTCACTCAGGTGGAGCATGGTGGGTGCTGGTCCGTGTGCCCGTGTGCATACCCCCCGTGGCGGGTCTGTGCCGTGTGCCCGTGTGCTTGGATCTGTGCTCTGCTACGAGTTCAGTTGAGTACCTCTCCATCTGTATGTTGGAAGTCCTAGCCCCCAGGATCCCAGAAGGTGACCTTCTTTGGAAATAGGGTCATTGAAGGAGTAATTTTTCAAGTTAAGGTGAGGCCACACTGGAGGAGGGTGGCCCTAATCCAATACGACAGGTGTCTCTAAAAAGGGGACATTGGGACACACAAGCAGGGAGAAGCCCCGTGACGATGGGGCCAATATGGGGTGATGCTTCTACAGGCCAATGAACACCAAGGTTGCAGTGATTCCCAGCGACGCTGCGAGAGCCTGAGGCAGATTCTGCCTCAGCAGGAATAGCCCTGTGACCCCTTGATCTTGGACAGGTATGGGAGTTGGAATTTCAACATACCTTTCTGGGGACCACAACTCAACCCCAAACAGTGGCCAACTCTGGGTCCACGTCTGTGGGAGTTTCCTGAGGCTGCCGTTTCAAAGCACCGCAAACTGGGTGGCTTGAAACAATGATTTATCCTCCTAAATGCTGGAGCCCCGAAGCCTGTGTCAGGGCTGCTGAAATAAGGTGTTTCAGGGCTGCTCTCCCTCTGGAGACCGTCCTGCCTCTCCCAGCTCCGGGGGCTCCAGGCGCGCCTTGGCTTGTGGCTCCATGCCTCGGGTAGCCACTCCGTCCCTGTGTGTCTTCTAAGGACGCCAGCCATTGAGTCATGGCCCACCCTGATCCAGCATGGCCTCATCTGAATTTAATTTCCTCTGCAAAGACGAAAGACCGTATTTTCAAATAAGGTCCCATTCTGAGGTTTCAGGTGGACTTGAATTTTGGAGTTGACGCTATTCAACCCTCTACCTCGCCCAGGCCTTGGCCCCCTGGGAGTGGGGTGGAGGAGCTCCTCATCTGGGATCTGTCGTGACAAATAGCACATGGCGTGTCCCATGCTGGGGTGACGAGGCCATCTTGGTTTGCTGGGACTTTCAGGGGTTTAGCACGAGAAGTTTCAGGTCCCAGGAGGCCGGGGCACACTGGGGCGCTTGTTCACCTATGGTGCATCTCAACACCGCCAGAGTCAGATGCGGGAGAAGCCACACGAGGTCAGAAGACCACTATCCGGGGCACATTTCACATAAGCAGACAGAGATACGTCCCGCCCCGCAATCCCAGAGGAGGAGCTGATTGGCTCGCTCTGGGCCAATCAGAGGTGGCTGGTTGGTCACATGGTACAGCCTTGCTGGGGTCCGTTCTCAGAGGATGAGAGACCTTGGCGGTGGGTAGTTACGCGCAGGAGCTTCTGCACTCTCTCCCAGAAACTCCTGGGTTTCTTCTCATTGGCTACCCCTCACTGGCTGCCTCTCACGTGCCTTCTGGCCTCGGTTTTCCCTCCAGAGCTCACAGAGAGACGGAACTGTGAGCGTGTGGCACCAGGCCTCACCTTGGGTTGAGCGTTCTCTTCCACCACAAACACTGGGACTGGGAGTGGGGGGTGCTGCCTCTCCCCAAGCGGGGGGGATGGGGGGCTGGAGGGAGAACAGTGGGGGCAGGTGCTACCCACCGGTGGAGGGTAGCAGCGTTGCAAGTTTGAAGCCAGGGGACGGCGGGCAAGCCACTTCTCCTTTGTAAACCTGTTTCCACATCTCGAAAACGGGAATGTGCACGTCTGCCTCCCTGCCCCACAGCGGTAAAGGCCTGGCTGCAGGGAGCGAAAATCCAATTCAATTTGACAAAAGTGACCCCCCGGCACCTGCTTGTGCCTGTACGCTGTCACTGGACCCCAGGATGCAGGCCTGTTCCTGTGCTGGGGTCTCTCCAAGGACAGGGAGAGAGATAGGCCTGCCTCTTGTAAGGGTAAAGGAACAGAAGGGGTCGCTTCCTGCCCATGTCCTCCCTGAAATCCACAGCTGTTTGGGATTTATCGGGAGGCTGGGATTTTGTTTGGCTTTCCCGGATGGGGGGATGGGCAGTGGAGAGAGCAGCTCACCCTTTTTACAATGTTCTCATTGTGCTGAGAGCTCCCACGGGGCTGCTTCCCACCCCAGCTTTCCAAATGGTGTCCCCATGATCAAAGCTAAAAGGAGGCAGGAACATGTGGACCACATTTGAAGTGGGTCCAAAATGAGGAAGCGCAGAGGCCGTTTGCTTTTTCAGAGACTCTGAGCGATTAGAGAGATGTTCATTTGGGGCAGAGGGTCCTGTGCTGGCAATTCTTTCTCCGTGAATTCCCATGATATACCTGAGGAGGCTATGGATAGTCCTAACTTACAGATGAGGACGCGGGGAACCAGAGAGGGTGGGTGATCGGTGCATTGTCACACAGCCTTTTCCTGGCACAACCCCAGACTTGCCCTCACTCTCCATGATCTTTCAGCTGCATAGCCACGCAGCTTTTTACAGGGGCGAGGCTGGAGCTCAGGGTTAAGGCTAGGCTGAAATTCCTCTGGAGAGGCGGCCACCATGCTTCCTGACCCCCTGGGAACTGAGCGCAGAGAGCAGATTTTCCTAAGGAAGGAGAGGAGAGGAGAGATGGGGCCAGGAAGTCCGAGGAGACAAACCCCCGAGTGCTCCAGAATCTGGAAGGACTGTGAACTCTGTTCATTCATTCCGTCATTCCTTTGCCACACGCAGTGATCACACACAGACTGAGTGCCTGCTGCTGGGTGCACAGCCATAGTGAGCAGAGCAGGTGTGGTCCCTGGCCTGGCTGGTGCACAAGGTAGATTTCTTTCTGCATTTTTCTCTTTTCTTTCTTTCTTCCTTCCTTTCTTTCCTAGTAATCCATTGACCACTGGATTTAGGAGGAGGCTGATTTTTTTTTTTAATTTTTTTTCAACGTTTATTTATTTGTGGGACAGAGAGAGACAGAGCATGAACGGGGGAGGGGCAGAGAGAGAGGGAGACACAGAATCGGAAACAGGCTCCAGGCTCTGAGCCATCAGCCCAGAGCCCGACGCGGGGCTCGAACTCACGGACCGCGAGATCGTGACCTGGCTGAAGTCAGACGCTTAACCGACTGCGCCACCCAGGCGCCCCTGGAGGAGGCTGATTTTAAACAAATCTACTTCTTTATGGAAAAGGGTCAGGATGTAGTGAGAAAGGACAACTCGGGAATGTGGCACGGGCTCCCTGGAGGTGGTGACAGGGCAAGGGGGCTGGAGAAAGGTGTGGCAGGATAAGCCCTAACGTGGCGGGGGTCCAGGGGTGCAAAAGCACCTGGCTCCGGGGATCCCAAACAGGCCAGGTCCAGCCTTTCGCTGCCAACAAAATCCAAGGGCAGAGACCCCGAGTGGTGGTAAAATGAGAAATTTCTTTCAGTGAGGCCAACGCCGGGAAGAAAGCAGACTAGCGTCTCAAGACCCCCTCCCAAATGACGAAACTACTTCCAGGTTCATATAAGGAAACTGTGGGACAAAGTCAGTGGGTATGAGCGTGTGGCCAGTGATGTCGAGCACATCGCTGTCCCGGGGTCCATCACGAGTGGGGTCTTGCTGGCTCAGGGCAGTCCCTCTTGCTTGTCGGGGAAAATTTTGGTTCCCATCAGGGGACGGTTCCCCTGCAGGCTCTTTTGCCTGAGTTAAGAGATAAGCTGGAAAGAAGTTCATCAATTAGAAAGTACCGACTGAGGTGGAATGGAGGTGGCTGAAGTCCTGGGTTACCAACGCCAGCCTCTGCGAGCGCTTGGCTTGCCCCCCACCCCCACCCCACCCCGCCCCGCCCGCTCATGGCACCCGGCCGCTGGCCCTTCCGGCTGGACTCTTCCCAGCCGGTTTCCTCTGCATCCCATCTGGCCGCCACCAGCAGGACGGCACTCTTCCACCTGATCACATCTTTTTTCCAGAGTACTGGGCCCTGCCCCACGCTGCCCACAAGACCTCGGGAAGGGCCCTGCCCATTATTCACTGCCCGGACCCCCCCGGGAAAGCCGCGCCCGGGGTCCTGGCCGGCAGCCACCTTGGGAGCCCAGGGCAAGCCCTGCAGGCCGCGCCAGATCAGGTGGACCTGCCCCCGCCCCTCGAGTTTCCGCTGCCGCGGCGCGCGGCCGGCGGCGGCCCGGGGAGCGCTCCCCCGCCCCGCCTTGACCGGCCCTCAGCTGCGCATCGCGGGCGCCGCCCCACCGAGTCCCGGTCACTCCCGGCCCG